GGCTAGGTTTCTTCCCTCTTATGAAAAGATAGATGCAAATGGCCCAACAGTCGATCCGGCTGTGCTGGGATTTGCATGGCGTCCCGCCCCGCCGCGGCTCTGTTTACCGGCAGGGCTCCGCCTGCCGACGCCGCGGGGATCTTTGCACAGGACGCAGCAGTTCTGCTCGGGTACCTGCCCGCCGCTCGAGAGGGGGGAAATTCCCCCACAGGCGAGCGACATCGAGGACACTTCCCCATCGGCGCCTCTCTCAGAAGCCTTTGTGCAACTGCTTTGACAGCAAGAGTTGTAAAGGCCAAGGTTAGCAAAAAAACCACAGATTGCGAGTCGAAATAGTAAAGGGCTGAAGCAACATTTCCAGGTTATTCTGTTTAGTTTACAGCTTAATCTTTGAATAGTTCTCCTAATATCTAAAGACGTTAATGCTAATTCCAGAGAACAGAAGGCAAAATAAAAATGGCGAAACGTTATTTTTCTAAAAAGCAAAACAAGTGTTTCATCTCCTTAAATGAATTTATCTGGTTGTCTTCATTATTATGCAAACAAATCTTTAATAAAATGGTTAGGGATTATTTAGTCTTGTTAAAACAGACAATCATAAATCACTTAAATCAGCCATCGGTGTTTTAGCCGAAAGGTTTTTCTATTTGAATCTACTAAATAAATCTTCAAAATCCCCTTTGGTTTTAAAAGCCAGGTCTAGATAATCGATATATTTTACATAGACCTTTTAAAGAACTCATTTTTAGAACTATCCGGACAGGGCCATCATCTTTTAGCCCTTAGCTCCTAGCTAGCACAGCATGCTAGGTGCTAGCTAATGTCCAGTGTGACATTGCGATGCTCCTTTTTTAAATTAAATCTCCTTTGTCTGTTAGCCTGCCTAGATATACCAAATATAGATGTAATTTAGGCTTATAATGTAAATTTTGACTATAGAAAATATTTAGTATCATAATGAACAGTAATCTCATTCTAAATGTTGTTAGCTCCTAGTATGATAAAGCTAAAGGAGATTATCAGATAGCTTTTTAAGGCTTGAATCTACCACCAAATTTTTTTTTTTTAGTATTTGGGAATCTGTTAGGTAATTTTGGATATAGTAACTTGTGTTCCACTCGGTTGCTTGACAATGGGAATGTGCAAATATTTCTGACAGGCAACACGCTGTCAAACACGCGATTACCCAAATTCTGCCGGCTGAATGCAAACAGGGTCACACACACCGTTTGTTTCAAATAGAAATATCAAATATGACATTCATTAAGTTTAAAATAGCTTAATAGGTTACGTTGCTTTTCTAGGTCTACATTACACCCTTTTACAGCCTCTCTTCTGTTAGCGTTATAGCTCTTGTTATAAGGTAAAATAAATACAGAAGAAAAAAGACGCACTCCACTTAAAATCTGTTTTAGTTTTTTTGTACATTTAGAGTAAATTAAATCCATAAAATACTGACATAGGTTTAAAATGAATAACAACAGTGTTTAGGATTGAGGTTTTAATCAGTTAATTTCTGTTTTATCAGGTTTTAGTCCCTTGGCCTTCAGTGTAATCAGTGTTAAAACAGGTTTTTTATCAGGTTTTACTACATAAATTAAGATTCAGTCCCTGTAACTGTACTTCTTTATTTGCATGTTGTGTGCTCAGGCTGTGATCCAGTATTACACAAACTGATTCAGCACCAGGAGTGCGCTGCACTGCCATTTAGATTCAGCTGATTAGCTTCTTTTTTTTTTGTTGCTGCTGAAATTTGAAAGCTAATTTCAATGTAATTTTACAGTAAAATGAAGCTGCAGGAGAAGAATAGGATGGCTCAGGTTTTCCAAAACAACTTTGCTGCCAAAAAGCTGTGTGCGATTAAAGTGAAAGCAGCCTGTCTCTAAATGTTTTTAACATTTTTAACCTTATATATTAACCCTGTAATGCCAAATGTATCATATTTGATACATACGGTTTCTGAAATGTTTTGCGTCTGACACCTTTTGCATAATTTAAAGGTAAAAACTTTGCTCAAAATCCTATTGTACACAATCAGATACACCTGATAACAGGGGGCAGAAGACTACACAAAAAATCATTTTGACTTATCGCATAGTAATAAATTATTAATATTAAAAATGTATTTCTGTTTTTTCTTTTGACATATTTTGTTAAAAGGCCAAATAAGGAATTCAAACCAAAAAAAAGTAATTTTCAGTTTTTTTTTTATTCTTGGATCAGGCTTTAAAGGGTTAAAAAAGACGTGAATGAGAAGCAGATCCCAGGGAGTCGACAGTGTCCAGAGGGAAGGAAGTGGAGGGATTCACAAAACAATTAAGTTTGATTAATTTAGTCTGATTTGTGCAGAGCCAGTTTGAAGTAAAAGAGCTACCGAGTCAAAGGAAATCCAGTAATTCCAAACCGCCGTCAGGGCGGCCTCATCAAAACAAACACAGGGCTGGGTTTGTGTGTTGTTGGTTGGCCGAGGATCCACAGATCAGCAACATTCAGCTGTGGGGTCACAGCTACCTGCAGGGAGGAAGGAAGGCAACCGCCTCGGTTAGGCAACGCAACTCTGCTCGCTTTCTGAGCGTTAGAAAACCAGCAAAAGATCAATCAAAGACGGGCTGAATTTGGGATTTTTGTCAATAATTGGTTGGCATGAACGTGCGTTAAACTAATCCTGCTCATAGTCTTTAAAAAGGAAGATGAAGGAAAAATAGAAACAGCAGAAATAACTGTGTCTGCATCATAAAAGCAAAAATCCAGACACTATTCAAGTTTAGAAGTACTAAAAAAAAAAGGTTGGGTTAGGGTTATGGTTAGGGGTCAGGGTTAGGAGTTAGGGTTAGGCTTAGGGGTTATGGTCAGGGTTAGGGGTAAGGGTTAGGATAAGGGTTAAGGGTTAGGGGTTAGGGGTTAGGGTTAGGGGTAAGGGTCAAGGATAGGATCAGAGGTAATTAGGGGTTAGAGTTAAGGGTAAGGGTTAGGGTTAGGGTTAGGGGTAAGGGTTAGGGTTAGGGGTAAGGGTTATGGTCAGGGGTTAGGGGTAAGGGTTAGGCTTTAGGGTTGGGGTTAGGGGTAAGGGTTAGGGTTAGGGGTAAGGGTTAGGGTTAGGGTTAGGGGTTAGGGTTAGGGGTAAGGGTTAGGGTTAGCCATTGGCGAGAGGCGGGGTCACCCTGGATGGTCCCCAGTCCATCACAGGGACACACAGAGACACACAAGGACCAACAACCACACACACTCACACTAAGGGCAGTTTGGAGTCCAACAAGCTAGCATGCAGGTTTTTGGACGGTGGGAGGAAGCCGGAGAACCCGGAGAGAACCCACAGACACAGGAGAACATGCAGAACCACCCAGAAAGGTCCTGGTTCCCCCGGGGACTCCAACCCAGAACCCTCTGGTTCTTAGGGGATGGTGCTGACCACCATTTTCAGCCAGTTATTAAACTCCAGAAACATAAACTCTGTTCTTAAGTATCATATTCTTTATTCTAAAAACAGGGATGGGGAACCGTTTCCCCATAAAGTGCCATTTTTATTTCTTTTACATCCACGATGCAACAATTCTGAAGGTATAAACCCACCTTCAGAATTCTTTGTATTTGAGAGTTTGAGTCTTTTTACAATGTCGAAGAAAATGTTCTAATCTTTTAAACCTGAGCACACGGGATATTTTCAAGGGTATATTAGTCTTACCAGCTCTTAACTCTTACCCAGAACCCTCCGGGACTCCAACCCAGAACCTTAGGGGGGGGGGCTTCCCCTATGGGGTCGACCTCCATCATTTCCTCGAGATTTGAGATCTTTTAGGGTTTATTTCAAAGCGTCACCTCCTCTCTGTGGCATCGTTCAGCTACACGACAGGCTTCCATCCTCTGGCTAAACAAGGTTGGATTTTATTTGGGAAAAAGCTGCTGTAGAAATATGTGAATCTGACTAGTTTTTATTGGTTAACTCTTAAGCAAATGGACACATCTTGCTTTTCCAGATACGTCATTGATCACTGTTGTAATTCAGTAGTTTCCAACTGGAAACAAACCTAAAAGACAAAAGAATAAGAGTTGCTTCTTCTTCTACTGGAATTTAGTCACTCTGTTTTTTGCTGCTTACCAAAAGGCCTCCGTTTTTAAACAGGGGGGCTGTAGCAACTTCTCTGATAGAGGGAAAGGGGGGGGGGGGAAAATAAGGGGGTACTGGGGGCCCCGGGGGCGGCCCCCCCCCCACTCTCTGAACCACTCACGCCCCACGTGCACGTGTCCCCAGTGTTTGTGACGTATCTTTTCATTTGGAAGCCCAACTCTGGATGCTTTTCCACTCAAATGCAGTTTGCAGCGCAGGTGCACGCGGACACGCGCGTTCTCCCTTTAACTTCTGGGGAGCCCACGCCAATTACCGAGTCTGTGCAAGTGCCACGAGGCTGGACGCGCGTGCGTGACCGCTCGCGGCGGGACACGCTGTTCCCATGCGTGTTTTGGAATCAGCCCGCGGTGTAATGAGGCGGAGACGGGAGGAAGAGGAGGAGGAGGAGGAGGAGGAAGAGGTCCGACAGGTTTTTTATGCAGCGCGCGCCCGTCCCCGACGCGCGCGCGCACGGACACGCGCGGCGCATGGGGGCAGCTGGTGGTGTAAATACGTAAATACGTGAATGTCACCCGGCGTGAGTCTGGGCCCCGCAGGGTGTTTTACGCAAAGCAAACGTTGACGGAGGCGTGCGCATGCGCGAGCGCGTGCGGGCCTGAGGTGGAGGTGGAGGTGGGGGGGTGGGGGGGGGGATACAGGGGGGGGAAGTGAGCCGCAGGTTGAGAGAGAAGGGGATGTAGCTCCGGTCATTCTGGGAACTCCTCCGCGAGTTCTCCGAAAGCCGCGGAACTTCCGGGTAGCGTGGCCGGGTCTCGGAGGGGGAAACCCGGGCAAAGTCTGGGCCGTGAGGGGCCAAACCGGGGGGGTCACGGCCGGGAGAAAACATCCACAAAGACAGACCGGGGGCCCCAGAGGGGCTAAAGAAGAAGGAGATATGAGTGGAGTTTAAGTTTAAGGTGACAGAGACGCCCCTGTGTGGGGAAATCTGCTCAGAAATTGCACAACTTTCTCTCTGATCT